AGTGGCAGCACTGATGGACTCAAGCGTGGCAACAGTAGTGAGGTTTGCCCAGGATCGGGCAGTGTTTTGTTCTGCTGTGCATAAGGTCGCTATGGTTTGGTATCAACTCGATGGCACCTAACAATAACAACAACTGATTCCTGAAGATTTCTAATTTGTAATCTATTATTCGAGTGCTGGTATGGCACTGTAGGATAAGCACTTGACCGTAAGGTCAGTTTGAATTGCAATGTTGGTGATTCAAACTCATCAGTCACTATTCAGAAGTCCAATACAGAGTTGCTATGAGTTGGAAGTGACTTGATGGCATTTAACAACAACATACTATTACATCTGGAGTCCTGGTGTGGTGCTGTGGGCTAATGCACTAGACTGCAAAGCCGTTTGAACTGCAAGATCGGCAGTTCAAGCTCACCAGCTGCTTCTTGGAAACCCTATACAGGGTAGCTGTGGGTTGTAACCAACTTGATGCCACTTCACAACACACGACACGAGGGATATTACATCTAATTTTTAAAGTAATACTTTTTATAGACTTTGTAAGATATTTTATATTTTTTAAATGAAAAGAATTACTTATTTAAAAACAGTGAATAGTTATAGAAATGCATCAAGTAGAAAGTCAGTCTGTTGAAATCCTGATTCTTAAGATAAAAGTTAATAATTTGGTATATATTTTTCTAGATTTTCCCCCTATAAAGTGAGAATTATTAATTGCATAAAAATATATGTACATTGAGACTTACTTTTGCAATGTTGTTTTAAAATGAAGAAAAATAAATAATAGAAGAGTGACTAGAGTCATTATTATATGATCATAGAAATAGACCAAAATGAATTTGGATAGTAGCTCCGGCAGCGTAGTGATTACAAATCAGGCTGCTAACCTTAAGGTCGGCAGTTTGAAACTACCAGTGGTTTTGTGGGAGAAAGATGAAGCGTTCTGCTCCCGTAAAGATTTACTGCCTCGGAAACCCTGAGCAGGGTCACTATGAGTCGGAACCAACTCCACAGTACTTAACAACAATACCACACATTGAATGCAGTACATAATATGTCATTATATTAAAAAATGAAACAAGGCAGGCAGATTTTAAAACACTGATTCATTGCTATACACTATTATATTGTATTTTAAAGCATCAGTGCATATCTTAGGTAATTACTTGATATTCTTTCAAAATAAAGATGAATTTAAAATATCATTATTTTAGCTAGATTATTTTTTCATTTATAATTCAACAGTGAATTCTGTTTCTGATTTTGTGTGTGCTTGTTTTGATTTATACTAGGTTCATGCAATGAAAGAACGAACTTTTCTTTTTTCCTGTGCTCTCAAACACTTTAAATAGCATTGAAACTATGTTGGTCTTGAAAGTCCACAAGAATGAACTAATAAAACCAAATGGTTTTAGAGCTTTTCTGGTACACTACAAAGTTTAATATGCATTTGAATGAAGATTTAAATGAGTAATTTGTTCAAATCATGTATGTTGTTGTGATTAGGTTCCGACTCATAGCAACCTTATGAACAACAGAAAGAAGCACTCCCCGGTTATGCACCATCCTCACAATTGTTATTAAGCTTGAGCTCAGTGCTGCTGCTACTGTGCCAATCCATGTCACTGAAGGTGTTCCTCTATTGCACTGACCCGCCACTTTACCTAGCACCATGTCCTTCTTCAGGAACTGGTCTCTCCTATATTGGCTTCTAAGGAGCATTCTGGCTGTACTTCTTCCAACATGGATTTGTTTGTTCTTCGAACAATCAATGGTAATTTTAATATTCTTCTCCAACACCATTACTCAAACACATCAATTCTTCTAAGGTTCTCCTTATTCAATGTCCAAGTGAAGGCTGCAGATTTTGA